GGCTGCTATTTTAGTTTTCTCTGACGTTTTCTATTTTGTGGTACTCATCAGTGACACTTGCTTCCTTGGGGTAAATTTGCCCCCTGTCTAGCATGTTAGTTGCTAGTTATTCTTAAGACACGTTAAGAAGCCTACCATATTGAGGAGCTACCAATCTTTATAACCAACACTCTAAAAATATTCTTTCATTGGATATGTTTGGGCCTTGCTACAAAGACAAATTAAAGTGGTTTACATAAAGATGAACACAGAAAAATCAAATGAAATTATAATAAGAAAAGTAAGACAGAGGGAAAATAGGGATAGGAAAGATAAAATGAAGCCAGAGTGATGTTTGTTTACAAAATGGAAGCAATGAAGTCCAAATCATGGGCTACAGAAACTAAAATTTGGCTCTAAGCTTTCTCAAAGACAACAGAAAGAGAATGATAGGAGCAGTTTCCTGAGCCATGAAAGTCACAGAGAATGATAAACCCACTCTTTATAGGCTGCTACTCCTGGAGCCAAGACCCAAGAGAAATTAACCCTGTGGATCCTAGTGGAGGGAGAAAATACGCCACCCTCCATAGTGAGCAGCATCAGCGATCTCACACTTTGGAGGCTGCTCTCACTGTTGCTCAGTGAGGAGCCCACATCATGGGAGCATAGTTCAGTCCAGTCGGGACTTTGAGGGGCCAAAAGGCTCGGATCCTGCTGGTCTGGATTGCTCCAGTGTTAACTTAGGGAGCGGTAATGTGGCGGATGGTACTTCCCAAATCCTGGCTCCTGAGTGTTGTGCAGCTCTGAATTGAAGGGGATACCCTCTGACAGCACTCTCAGGACTGTTCAAGGTAGGGGTAGGATGACAACACCCCACATGAACATTGAGACACCCAACAGGTACACCTACCTTCAGGGATTGCCAAGAGAACATCCCCCAGCAAGCCCATAAATCTACTCACATCGCATCCAACACAGATCAAGATGATAATTCCCCACCACCACCACTTTCTTTACTACTGATTTTTCAAATTCTTTTTGACCTAGAACCTTTTATTCTTCAATGAAAACTTAAAGACAGTATGCTGAAGGTGAAATTGTTAGGACTGAGACAGGCCCCATGCCTGACTCCCACCTCCAGAGCAGCCTAACCAAGGACACAAATGACCTGGTGTGGCCAGTATCTCACTGTTAAAAGGGAAAGCCCAGCCAAGTGATTGTCAAGTGTTCTTCTTGTTAATGCGAATTGCTGGGCAGTCCCCCAAGATGAACTGGTTGCAGAAAACAGGTCTAGAAAGCAATTAAAGTATTTGTGGAAAACCAATGATTCTTAAACATTTTTGTTTTATAGACCCTTTTGTGACTGATAAATGCCATCCTCTATCCAAGGGGAGGGGCGGCAAAGAAAGAGGGAGGGCATGCATTCACACACGTGCTCAAATTTTACTTTTACCACCAGAGAGTTGGAGAGCTGGACCCTCCCTGAGGCCTGCAGATCTGCTGTGTAGGATTTTTAACCAGCAGTCTCATGGGTCTTAAGGTTTATCTAACACATTTGGTGGTAGGTGTGGTGTAATGTATATACTGAGGTAAGAAATTGTGTACCTGAAACTTATATAGTGTTTTGAACTAATGTGCCCTCATTTAAAAAAAAAGAAAGAAACTGGAGGGCCTCCCCAGTGGCACAGTGGGTTGAGCGCAGTGCTGTGAAGCTGTCCACAGCCTCTGCAGCACCGGTTCGATTCCCGGCTAGCCTGGGAGATTCCCACATGGCAGGGCAGACCTCTCCTGTCGCTCCCGCTGCTCCCCTCAGCAGTGTATATCTTCAGTCTGCCTGTTCTGTTCCCCTCTCTCTCTCTGGTAAATTCTCTCACCCTCCCACACCTCTGGCCTGTACCCCCGTGCTTGTATAAATAAATAAAATCTTTAAAAAAAAAAACTGGAAAAAAGGATCATTTGCCAAAAGGGATAACTTTAGTTTTGCAATTTAATTGGAATTGTTCTTTTAGGCAGATTCAATGACAGTGCTACCTATCAATTGAAGGCCTTTTTCATTTGTGGCAACAAAACTACATCAACTCTATGAAGAAAATGTTGGGCTCTTTTGGCAGGAAACCAGTTCACAAAACAAAACAAAACAAAAAAAAAAACAGAGTAAATCGTTAAGTCATCAGGAACCAGTGAATGAAAAGAAGAGGGATCTGGAACACCCCTGGGTGTGCCCACCCCACCAGACCCTGCACTGCTGGCTTCCCTGGATTACCCTGCACACTCTTCCTGCTGATCTGAACTCATCCTGGCAGTAGGTCCAGGTTCTGAATCACCATCAAAATTTTGTCTACACCCAACTCCAATCCAGAGTCAAGAAAAATCAAAGATGAAATCTACCTGTTACAACTGCATTATCCTATCAGACTTCTCCACAGAATAATGGCCCAATTGAGACCAATGTGAAGATAATTGTGCCTTAAATGCCAATACCTCATGTAAACATTGACCTGAGAAGCCCAGGCTGGTGATTTTCCAGATAGGTTATAAGGGAATGCCATAATTCTGGCTGCCCATTCAACAAATGGCATGGTCTAATTGTATCAGATAGGAAATTATAAAGTGAAAAAATGCAGACCAGGGCCAGAGCCCATCAGTCAGAGTAATTTTTTTTTATTCTGGGAGAGGACACTATGTCCCAGATTAGATTAAGTTTGGTTTGTTTGATTTTAAAACGTTTTAATATGAAGAATTTAGAAAACAGCCTGGGATGCCTACCAGGACTGTAAACTTGTAATGATGAAAGGTAAAATAAAAAAACCTTCCTGCTGACCTCCAGGGGCTAAGTCTTCATCACCCCCTGAAGCAAATACATCCCCAAGAACTGGTTCCCTTATCTGTCTTCTTTGTATTCTCAGCTGTGAAGCTCAGGCCCTGTCCTGTGTGGAGGGCTTGTGGCGTCCTGTGGAGGGTTTCTCCTTGAGTCAGGAGAAATGTATTATATTAAACTCTGTAAGGTTCCAAGTAACACCTGCCCATTTCCACCCCCATTATGTTGACCCAGGATTTGTTGTGTATTTGGAGGTGGGGGGACTCTTTTTTCTCCTACTAGTTATAATCAAAATGAATGCCTTGCTCACCAGGGTACAGCATTTGAATAAAGCTAGTTTTAGGTTAAGCGCCATATGTTGGGAGAGGACAAACTTCTATCTTGAGGTACGAGAGGCAGAAATCTTCTGAGTCCTCAAAAGAAACAGGCCAGCAGCAGAGTCAGCCCTGAGACTCAGCCTGCTCAGCTCCTACTTCGGGACAAGCAAAACTACCCGCAGTGCCCCCATTCATTTCAGCTATAAGTTGGGGCTTTTCTCTGCTCAGAACAGGAAAAAAATGGAACCTTTTTCTTTCATCAATCCAGTGATTTTATTCCCTATTTCTGTTATCTCTTTGAGCCTAAACACCTTTATATAGACAGCTGCCTTTAGCATTTGTCCAGTTACAAACTCTATTTGCAAATTTGACGCACAAACATCAGAAGGTATAAAAGAATCTGCCACAAAGCCTTTTTTAGCATAACAGGATGGTCCAAATTTTTGTTGCAAAATAGTGTGACAAAGTTTGAAAGACACACTAAATGAAAATACCATATTTTCTTTTGTTCTTATATATTGTTTACTCATCAATTCTTGAGTTTGAGAAAATTCCCTACGATCTGAAGACTCAGTGTGAGATTTTACTTATACAATCAATTTCACCATCATTATTACAGTCTAAAGAGCTATTCTCCTTTTTTGAATTCATCATATGAGTCACCTACTGATTGTGAAATGTTGTTCTCTGTCAGTTTTCTTCTCTTTGCTATTATGAAAATTTTTGAATTCTCAAATGTGTACAATGAAAGCTAAAAGTAGACTCAAAATGGCAATGATTTATTTTGCTATTGAGTCATCCTCTAGGCAATTCTATTCTTCTGTTTTATTATTTTGGTCTCTTTTAGCATAATTGCGAATAATTGATGCGTAATGAAAAGTAATTCCCAGCATGATGAAATAGCGAAATGTATCAAAAGATAGGAAAAATAAGATTACAAAGATTCCATCGTATATCTTAGATTTAGAAAAAGGGCCAGACAGTAATTGCAAAAAGTGTGAGCTTTATTGTATTTAAAAAATAAGTACCTCTTTGTTCTTTGGAAGCCCTTTTATTTAAGAATAAACAAAAGTCATGAAATATCAAGCTTATAAATAAAACAACTCAAATAGAAAACTCAAAAACTAAAATTGAGTCTTCGTAGACCTGATGAAATGTTGATGTTATCTTGTTAAAATTTCTGTCAACTCAAGACCAAGAATATATTAAGAGTCACTATCTTTATGTCCTCCTGGAGTGCCCCAAGCTTGGTCAGGGCTGTACTCATAAAAGGAGCTTGGGAGACATGCAAGAGCCAGAGATGCAATTATAAGGGAAGCCACAGAGTATTCCTTAGACGTGCACAGACCTTACACCGCCTCAAAATCTTTGCCCTTTGCCTACTCTCTCCTGTTTGGCTATGTAACTGCTATAATTTGAACCTCAACTGAAGTATCACTTCCACAAGGAGGCCTGCCCTAATGCCCAGCCCCTCCCATCAAATGCCCCTTAGTGGGCTGTCAGAGCCCCTCTCCCCATGCCCCTGCCCTGCACTTACCACCCTGACAGCTAGCACTCATTAGGGGCTGGGGGTGCCAACCAACTTTGCCCAGCCCCATATCATCTGCACCGGCCCTGAGTTGCCCCAGGTGGGTGCTCAATGAATATTTTGTGAACAAAAAACACTGAACAAATTTGCTTTTCTGAGTACAGATGCTCACGAGCTTGAAACCTTTAACAAAGTATTAAGATGCGTGTGTTTGAGAAAGTAAAAGCCCATCTGTAGAGGGAGTAGATCAGGTAAGAGAGCTGTTAGTTTCCTGGCCTGTCCTTTACTGGGGGTTGTTGGCAACAGCACGCAGCGTGACTGTAGGGGTGTTCAGCTCATGACTCTGCTTTTCGTTTAGGTGCCGGCAGATTTATCAGAAACTGACATCAGCAATGACACTCAGGACTCTCAGACGGGCACAGGCGCCATGGAGGAGAAACTGAGAAACAGGTTGTATGAGTTAGCAAGGAAAATGAGTGAGAAGGAGACTTCTTCAGGGGAAGATCTGGAGTCGGAGCCTAAGACAGAATCTGAGAACCAGAAGGAAAGTCTGTCCTCTGAAGACAACAGCCAGAGTGTCCAGGAAGAGCTGAAGAAGGTAAGGGCCCTGAAACCCACTGAAAGGAGCGTGGCTTCTGCAGCCAGGAGTGGAGAGAGTTTCTGGCCTTGCACAGAGATATGCTGGGCCTCACGAGCTCTCTCTAAAACTCTCATCCCTGTGCACTTGGGAGAACTCCAGAACACGCTTCTTGATTAGCATTGAGTGTTTCAACCAGGAAAACAGCCTCCCAAGACCTCTCATCTCCTACTTTCTTCCAGGTTGCCCTTCTGTTTCAAGTCTATATTATAGTGCCCCTGATTTCTCCCATCAGTAAGGAAGAGTGTTGTTTACCATCCCCCTTCTCCCTGAACATTTTTGCCTGTAGATTGAGAACACTGAGCCAATTCCTCTTTTAACTAATAAGGAAGCGGCATTCCATGGCATAAGGTCATTGTGTTAAGTGGCCTTCTGGATTGTTTACCTCTGCAGTTTTCAATTTCTGGTTTGTTTGTCTTAGACGCAGAATCCTTTCAAACAAAGTTTGTATGGAATCCCGGTGTTTGAAACAGATAAAAAAAACATCGCATCGCTGTTCTTAAGGTCTCCAAAGCCCCAACCACTTCAGTCCCAACCTCTGCCCCTGCTCCACACCAGCCCCTGAATCTCAGGGGATAATGTTTAAAAATCACAGAAGATACACACACTCCCTCATGGAATGGGGTCCCAGATTTCCTGGCCCCAAGTCAGTGTTCTGCCATCACCCCCTTCCCCCGCCTCCAGGTGCCTGGCTGTCCCCTGATCTCCAGCATAGGGAGACACTGACATTTGTTGAATGTCGCCCAGTATTTTGCATGTGCTAGTTAATTCATGTAATAATGCTTTGAGGTAGATGGTAGATGCAGCCCCTTTTTTCAGATGTGGAAAAGAAGGCTGAGTCATGAAGGAATTACCCAAAGCCTACAACTAATCAGTTTCAGAGTAAGGCTTACAAACGTTGCTTGCACTCAAATCACAAACTACTTCCTTTATAAGGAGCTGCCCCCACTCTAAGTCAAATAAGATCTTGCCTGGTATCGTCTAGTCTTCTTTGCAGTTTTGATGCATTTCTCCCCTATTTCCGAGTGTGCTATTAAGCTAACACATTGCTGGTAACACATGTGCATGATAAATGAGCCCCCTTCACTGGCTCAACACCCAAACTAGTTGCTATGGAGAAGTCGGGCCCACCGACCACATGTGCTCAGGAGCGGGCCTGGAGAGAGTGACCGTCCTCCGTGGCTGAGCCCCTGAGCCCTCCAGCACCTCCGACTCCCCTTCACTCATTCCATTGCCATCCCAGCCTCCAAAACTAGCACGTCCTCACTCATAGTCCTGCCAAACCCTCGGCCTCTGGACAGCGCACCCAGCGTTTGTTCCCCTAGTGTGTCTGTGGGCTGGGAGGGGAGCTTGGCTTTCACGGCAGCCCTCCCTGGGATGTGGGCTCCAACCCATTGCTCCCTCTATGGTAATGGGCTCTGATCATCTGTATTGCTTGAACTGATGCCCTGTTTCAGTAGCATTTGTCTGATAGAGCTGAGACCCAGCTGCTCACTGAAGAATATCACAGTATTTCTTATAATGACTCTGCGTCCTTCTGTCTTTGCTGCCTGATGGTCCCAAGGCTCCAAAAACTCATGCTGTACCAGCGGCATGCCAGAGCGTGATGAGTCACGCACTCTCACCCCTCATCGGCCTGCCGGCCTCCCCTTCTGGAGGCACAGCCCCCAATCTGTACTGTGCTCTCCCAGGCAGGACGTGAACAGAACAAAGAGGAGCCAGTGGAGGAAAATCCCGAGCACTTAGACAAGTCCCCCAATCCTGCTCTGAGCCTTTGCTGAGCAGGAAAGTAAGAGAGCAAACTTTAAGTATTTCCTCTAGCCAACCGCAATCAATGAATTAGATAGTCAACCACATGTCATTTGCTATATGTAAAATCCCATATAACCAACAAAAACATAATATGTTTTCCCCAACAAGCACAGGCTACCTTGACTAAAGGAAAATAGAAATACAGGTTTACATATTGAATATAATTTTTGAGCAAAAGGTTATAGTGCTTCAGGACTAGACTGACTTTGAAATACAACCATGCATCTTGCAATGTTTAATTCATGGCCACTACTTCTACAAACCGATGTCATCTTGCCTGCTTAACCCACCTCCTCACTGTCCTCTCTGTCCCTCTAGGTCCTTCATGGCCCTTCCTGTCCTTTCTCCTCTCAGCAATTGGGGTTACCTGCTCCCCCTGAGCTTACTCCAGGCATGTCAACAGGTTCATGTTGGCCCTGTTTTGAAATTGGTCCCTAGGACCCAGCCCAGGTCTTTTCTGATGGTTGAATAAACACATCTTGGCCTCATCTGTCAAATGGGAATAATCATACCCTTTCCAGAGTTGCGAGGATTGAATTGTGAGGCATAGGGTTAGCAGGGTTATCCAGCAAATATTAATTATCATATCCCTTTTAACAATCTCAACAAAAATAAACTTTGCTGTCATGAAATAGCATCCATCTGCTAGTACTGAAGGAACAGCATAGTGCCTGTTTCCAATCAACACTTGCAGTGTGGAGCTGTAGGTCTGTAACCACATTTGGTGCTTTATTAGTCTATGCAAATGTAAGTGGGGTGGCGGTGGGGGGGGTGGATATGCTACATCAGACCCTGCAGGGTCCCATCTTCAGGATCAAAATATGACTCTGCCTGTGATCCAGTCAACTAGTGTGCTAGTGTGTATGTGTGTGTGTGTTTTGTGTGTGCGCACATACAAAGAATAGTTGAGGAGTAGATCTTGGCTAAGGTAATGATTGCAGAAGCTGCAGTGTTCACCTTTGTCTCTTAACCTGGGTGATGCAAATTGGCTGAAAGTCCTGCTGCCTGTGGGCTCCCGTGTAGCAGGAGTTCCTCTTCCTGTGCAGAAGGCAGCCTGGAGATAAGATACAACTCTCCTGAGCTCAGCCCCAACCAGTGACTGATGGGGAAGAGTGTGACTCTCCGGCTCCTTTGCCTCCACTGGGGTGGTAACTCTGGGGTCTGAACCACTCACTGACTTTCCAAGTTCTCTAGCTCTAGGCATCCACAGTGAAGAACTGCTTGATAAGGCAGTTTTCATTAAAACCCCCACTACTCCACCATTCTTTCCTTCGATCACCTCCCAGACTGCTTGCTCTCAAATCCTTGTCTTGAGGTCTGCTTCTGGGGAAACCAGGTTATGACAGTAACTGAACAGGAGAAATGTGGAGTCACCAGCTCACAAATACTCACTGTGGTGTGGTGACTAAGCAGGTGTGTGTGTGTGTGTGTGTGTGTGTGTGTGTGTGTGTGTGTATGCATGGATGGGTGGATGTGTGTATATATGTGAAGAGAGAGAGAGTGCACTTTATCTAGACTCCCCTGGTCCTCCTGCCTCCACCAGTGATCCTGATCTCAGGAGCCAGAGCAGAGGACTGTGCATATTCCCACAGATGCAATTAGATCAGCAGCAGAAGAACCCATCTAGGATCACAGCCCATCTAGGAATTGGGGCCTCAGAATCCAGCCCAGCAGCAGAAGAACCATTTTAGAAGCAGGTTTTCTCCTGATTGGAGTCACTTTGCTGTAGGCAGACTTGTCCCTACTGTTGGCTGTTTGGCTGGGTGTTAGGGGCCCAATGTGATTCACTGCTATCTGGATTTTAACTAACAGAGAAACAAGTTTATAGAGTAGGGGACCAGCCCAGAAACCTCTGGGAACTAGATTCCCAAAGGGTCGTGTTCATTCTTCTTTAAGTCAGTTTAGGTCCATCAAACCTCACTGGCCATGTGATCCCCAGAGCCCAGGAATGAGCACTTACTTCTCCTCTACCCCTGGGTAGGTGGGCATGCCAGTGCTTCTGGCAGAAGCAGCCCTGGCTGAAGTGGTTCTTAGAGCCATTTCCCTGGAGGTATGCGGAGGCTGCATTCCTGAAAGAGGAACGCAAAGAAGGGCCAAAACTCCTGACCTAAGTTTGTAGACAACATTCAGAGCTGAATCTACCACAAACCCCCTAATCTTTCTGGGGTGGTGCTCTGATCCCCATGGTCCCTTATGGTTCTAAAGTCCCATGGTCCTAGATGGATTTAATCCATGATGAATGGGTTGGTGGTTAACGGATTAAGTAAGTTTTTACTTCCTGACATAAATATCATTTATGATGCTGTTTATGTGACAAAAGTCATCCTATGTGTCAAGCTTTTGGAATATGACTATTTGTTGAAGACCCAAATTAGTAAATTCTTGCGTTATATATAATCAAATCTTTAACATCCAACATCTTCAAAGAATTTTTATTTAAAAGCCTTTGTTTATTAATTATTGTCACAGGTAGCTTAGCCATTGTGTTTTATTTTCATAAGGGAGTCGCAGACCATCAGATGTCATCCATATATCTAGTTTCACAGCATAATTCCCATCAAAATGCTGAGACTTCTTTAAACTAATAAATGTCTTTTTCCCCTAAGAGGAGATTAATTTGTGTATCTTCCTATGGCTGTTCCCTACTTACTCACATCAAACCACATGGAAACACAATCCTGGTCAGTGGTCAAGGAGACAGATTTATTGACTGTAATCTGAGAAAGTCCAGTGCCTTGAGTTTCTCAAGTATAATGTGCTTGTAAAAAAAATTTTGTTGCAGTCACAGCGTTAACATGAAATCAACTATTGTTCATCAGGAGTGTCTCACCCTGGTAAAAATAACTCACCATTCACAGGAGGATTTGCTGTCTTTCATCCCAGGTGGCATTTTGTTCAAGAAGAATGTCTTTTTCACTTGATACCTAAGTGAATGTCATGTTAGATACTGACTTGTATCTGACAAGCTACACTGATCTCAGTGGGCCTTATGCCGGGAGGAATTAACACCTCTTTCTTTAACTTTCTATTTAACTGCTGCCCTAGGAAAAGAGAGAAGCTTTAGCTGTCCACTTAGAGCTACAGCTCTTATCCACAGTGCTTGAACAGGTGAGGAAGTTTCATCTCATTCATGTTGTCATTGGCATCAC